TGGATTCTGCAACAGGCCATATTTTAGTCCATCTAAAAGTAAGTCTATTTATAGATACGTAAGTTGACAGAAAATAACCAGTCTGCTAGGGTAGTTACTTGAGTTAATTCAGAAGTGGGTATTTGGGCATCCTACTTTATTTTATTTTATTTATTTATTTATTTATTAAAATATATTTTTATTGATTTTTTACAGAGAGGGAGAGGTATAGAGAGTTAGAAACATCAATGAGAGAGAAACATCGATCAGCTGCCTCCTGCACACCCCCTACTGGGGATGTGCTGGCAACCAAGGTACATGCCCTTGACCAGAATCGAACCTGGGACCCTTCAGTCTGCAGGTGGATGCTCTATCCACTGAGCCAAACCAGTTAGGGCTTATTTATTCATTTTAAAATATATTTTTATTTAATTGAGAGAGGAGGGGAGAGGAGAGAGAGAGAAACATCAATGAGGAGGAGGAATCATTGATTGGCTGCCTCCTGCATGCCCCCTACTGGGGATCGAGCCTGCAACCCAAGCATGTGCCCCTGACCAGAATCAAACCTGGGACCCTTCAGTCCACAGGCCAAACCTACCTCTGTGTGCCTGCCTGGTTGCCTCTAACTGTTCCCATACCAGCCTGATCACCCCTAACTGCTCCCCTTCTGGCCTGATTGCCCCTAACCGCCTCTGCCTCGCCCCACATCCAGGACCCAGGATTCCCTCCTCTGGCCAGTCACAGGCACAAGGGACCTTGGGCGGATGGCTTGTTCCTCTCTAGGATCACAGCTGCAGGTGATGGAGCCCGGGACTGCGGGGCAGGCAGCTTATACCTCTCCCAGGCCGCAGGCGCAGGTGCTGGCACCCAGGACTGAGGGGTGGGCAGCTTGTCCCTCTCGCGGGCTGCAGACACAGGCGCAGTCACTGGCACCCTGGCACCCGGGACCGCAGGGCAGACGACTTGTCCCTCTCCTGGACTGCAGCCTGGCTGGTCCCCATTCTTCTCTCCCCAGTGTTGAGTGTCTGCGCCGTTACTACCTGACGGTGTGAGGGTGTGACAACCATTTGCATATTAGCTCTTTATTATATAGGATACTTACTATGATGTGCATTTGTTACTATAAGCTGTACCCTGAATTCTAATAGAAAAGAACTTCATTTTAAAATAGAGGGTGTCCCTAAAAATGTATACACACTTGAATAATTATAAAATTCGTGTTTATTAACATACAGTTATTTTCAAAATGTAAAAGAATCTACTGAAACGAATACTTTTTTGTCAATGCCTGTTTTTAAACTGGTGACTGTTCTGGTCAAGGCACTGCTGATAACACAAAGCAATGGAATTGTAAACATCAAGAATCATTTTATTGAGTATTGATTCTTCAATTCATCAACTGTTACTGGTTTTATACTGTAAACTTTATTTTTTTATGTATCCCCCATAAAAAATGTCCATGGGGCATTTTAGGATAAATTTCCTTTGTTTAAAGCTTAGTCTGGCTTTATTATTTCAAATCAGTTAAACCTGAAAAGGAGTGATAATTTAAGTGAGTTCTCAGCTGTTAAAGTGTGTATACATTTTTTGGGGGGACACCCTGTATATTCTTGATTCTCAATATGTAGCCACACTCATTGAAAAAGAGTTCCTTTATCTGACTTGAAACATTACAACTGAAAGGGATTTGGAGAATTTGAGTATTGTATCTTAGAAGGAATTATTAGGATAAGAGAAGTTTAAACAAATTTAAATGATCTCACCTAAAGGCAAGAAAAGTCAGTTATATTTTTTTGTCTGATGGGTGTTCCCAGTTTTTAGAAGTACGTACTTAAATGAAAGAATCTAAACAAAAGTTACGGGCATTTGAGTTGAATCAGAAGTAGTTTAGATAAGTTGAAAGTATTTCAAAAGATATAATGTAACTGTCTACCCCCCTTCTCCCCCATCGCCTAATTTGCAAATATGTCATTGTCATGGAGTAAAGCAGGCCTAGGACTTGTTTGCGTTGGTTGTGTACCTTGGACAGTGCCCGGAAGTCCAGTTGGCTGTAGGACAGGAGTGGCCTTTTTGACTCCCTAATCATGTAATTACGTGTGAGGCGGTCAGAGTTATGCACTAGTTGATCTTTCTATATGGTTCTGTCAATTTCTAGGGTATGGAAAAGATTATTGCTTTCTCTTCATTTCTCCACAGTCAGACTAAAAGACGCTTTGAGCTAACTGTTTTGTTAGCAGTGCAGTTTTGGAGCATTGTTCTTTAAAACCTGGGAGATGCTATTAAGGATATATGTGTTCCTTACAAATTACAGGTTGTAAGTCTTAATAGAGGTTGGAGGTTAAACTTGATGGTTTCTTAATATTCTTTCAAAACTCTAATTTCCATTCCATTTCCTGGTCGTGTCATTACATTTTCTTATCCTAATGAACCATTCATAATTTAATATCTGTTGCACATTTTATTAGTATTAAACTAGTAACACGAATAGATATAATAGATGTAGCACTAAGATATAAAGTATGTGTTAAAGTATGACATGGATTTGTTAACTCCATGCAATGCAGAGGATGAACGAACACATTGTTACTAAATTGGTCAGAGAGTTCTTACAACACAAATCATTGAATCAAGAATTGCTTGTTTGTTCAATGAGTAATTTTAAGATAAGAACTGTTAATTATGGAGATTGTAATGTAAGAGTGATTTTTTTTGAGGATACTCTTCTTTTGAGTATAGTTAAACCATATTATAAATTGTCCCAGTAAAATGGTGAATAGCATTCTTGTCTTCTTGCTTGTTTTATTTTTAAAATGGTTCTTTATGAAGTCTTTTTTCCTTTAATTTTTATTATTTTTATTTAAAATTCCCATCCCCTTACTCAATCCTCTTGGGTAACCACCATCATCTTCTCTATGAGTCTGTTTCTGTTTTGTTTATTCATTCATTTATTTATTTTAGATTACACATATAAGTGAGATCATGTGGTATTTGTCTTTCTCTAGTTTATTTCACTTAGCACAATACCCTCTAGGTCCATCCCTGTTGTCCCAAATGGCAACATTTTATTGTTTTTAATGTCTGAATAATATTCCATTGTGGATATATACCACATCTTCTTTATCCATTCATTTATTGATGGATCATATGGCAGTTCTATTTTTAGTTTTGTTTTTGTTTTTTTAATTCATCTTTATTGTTGAAAGTATTACAGATGTGCCCTTTTTTACCCATTGACCCCTCCACCTGCTCTGCCCTATTTTTAATTATTTTAGGAATCTCCATCCTGTTTTCCATATGGCTGCACCAATTTACAATCCCATCAACAGTGTTTTCCATAGTGGCTCCATCAGTCTGCATTCCCACCAGTAGTGTGCGAGGGCTCCCTTTTCTCCACATCCCCGCCAACACTTGCTGTTTGTTGATTTATTGATGATAGCCATTCTGACAGGTGTGAGGTGATATCTCATTGCGGTTTTAATTTGCATCTCTCTGCCCCAGCCAGTTTTCTCAGTGGTTAGAGGCGTCAGCCAGCAGACTGAAGGGTCTTGGGTTTGATTCTGGTCAAGGGCACATACCTCGGTTGCAGGCTTGATCCCGGCCTCAATTGGGGTGTGTGTGAGAGACAACTAATCAATATGTCTCTCTCATATCAATGTTTCTCTCTGTCTTCCCCCTCCCTTCCACTCTCTAAAAATCGATGGAAAAAATATCCTTGGATGAGGATTAACGGTAACAAAAATTCTCTCTCTCTTTGATGATTAGTGATGTTGAGCATCTTTTCACATGCCTGTTGGCTTCTGTGCATCCTCTCTGGAGAAATGTCTATTCTGTTCCTTTGCCCATTTTTAAATCGGGTTGTTTGGTTTTTCTGGTGTTATAAGTTGTATGAGGTTCCTTATCTTTTTGGATGTTAACCTCTTATTGGATGTGTCACTGGCAAATACCTACTCCCTTTCAGAAAGTTGTCTTCTTGTTTTGTTGATGGTTTCCTTTGCTGTGTAAGACCTTTTATTTTGATGTAGCCTCATTGCCCGAGGAGACATTTTCCCCAAAATATCACTAAGAGTGATGTCACAGAGTTTACTGCCTCTATGTTTTCTTCTAGGAGTTTCAGGGTTGCGAGTCTTAATTTAAGTCTCTGATCTGTTTTGGGTTTATTCTTGTATATGGTGTAAGAAGCTGGTCCAGTTTTATTCTTTTGCATCTGCCTGGTTTTCCCAGCACCATTTATTGAAGAGACTGTCTTTCCCGCTGTATATTCTTGCCTCCTTTGTCATAGATGAATTGAGCAGATAGTGTGGATTTATTTCTGGGCTCTCTGTTCTGTCCCATTGCTCTCAGTGTCTGTTTTGATGCCAGTACCACCTGAGAGGGGAAAGAAATATGATGGATTAGGTTGACGTACCAGGAGACTTCAAAGGCAGTGACACTGTTCTGTATCTTGGCCCGGGTGGTGGCATAGAAGTGTTCATTGGGTCATCCCACCATACACATAGTTCCTAACTTTCTTTGTACTTACTCAGTAGTAATAAAAACATTTTAAAGGCCTTAATGAGTTCAAATACAATATACTTTGAGGGCAGATGAATACAAGTATAGCCTAAATGTCAGCACAAATATCTTCTTTGAAGAAAGAAATTTGCAGAGTTTAGAATCAATTTGTTCAAATACTAGTAATTATTGAATTTTCATTTTACTTGTTAATAGTGGTTTTTAAAAGTTTAAAATATCATACTTTTGTTTTTAGATAATATCATGCACATTCTATACTTGTTTATAAAAGAAAATATGACATAAAATTGTATTTCAAGCCAGTTTAAAATTGAACTTGAGAGTAGCTCTGAAATAAGCCTCATGTGCACCCTTACTTAGAGGCTCCTGGCAACAGTCAGGCTCGGCTCTCTTCTCTCTCTCTCTCTCTCTCTCTCTCTCTCTCTCTCTCTCTCTCTCTCTCTCCAAGAGGGCGACTGTGCCGTGCGCTGTGTGACTAGGCCCAGCTTGGGATCACTTCAGGTTACTCTCTGAAAACAGGACTTCAAGCAAAGCGTTTGTATTCCTTTTGCAGAAATGTTGCTGAAGTGCTGCTGAAAGGGCCAGAGATGCCAGGATTTGGGGCCCAGTGAACCTTAAGCTGCCTGACACTGACCTCCTTTCACTGTTAATAAAGAAGCAGCAGGAGCTTAGCATGCATTAACGCCAGTTTGCTCCTCTGCTAACCGGACACTTTCTGCAGCGAGTCTACATCGTACAGGACTGGATCAGCCCAGAATAAGATAGTTTCCTATTGTACTCAGCTTGTAATATGCCTCGATGGAGGAGAGTTTGGTGAGCATGAGGGAAGACCATTCTTTTCATGTTCGTTACAGGTAAGAGCTGCTTTCTTCCTGGGTTGTTTTTAATCCTTATTTAAATATGTATTTAACTCTGATCATTTCAGATTTAACTTTGAAAATATTCAAAATATACCAGCCATAGTTAGTATCTCCTATAAAACAACGTTTTCTTTTGTTGTGGTGGTTGTAAGCTTTTATTTCCTTTCTATAGGAAAATGGTGTAGAGACCAATTATATACTATATAGTTTGTTTTCTGTTGTTCTGTGGAAGAGTTTATCAATAGTTACTTTATATTTTTATAACTCTTTCTATGATGCAAATATAAAATTGAAAAATATTTCTAAATCTTTGGCAGTAAAAGATGGATTTTGTAATGTGGTCAGCTGAATGACCTAATTTTGTGTTAACAAATTTTAAATGGTGATCGTTCTAAATGAGCTTTTTTAAAAATGGGAATTAACATTGAAATGTGTGGGTACTTTTCTAAACATGATAAGCTAATAGCCAGTTTAATAGTTAGTGATAAAATATTAATGACATTTCTGTACATTTGGAAACAAAGCAAGAATATCTGCTTCATTATTAACATTTATTCTGGAAGTTCTGGTCATTGCACTAAACTGTAAAATAAACACAAACACAAATATTAGAATGGAAGACATAAATTTTAGTAAGGTGATTAGATACCAATAACTTCTTTATCAAAACTGTTACAAGTTGCCCGGCAGGTGTGGCTCAGTGTTTGAGCATCCACCCATGAACCAGGAGGTCACGGTTCAATTCCAGGTCAGGGCACATGCCCGGGTTGCAGGCTCGAGCCCCAGTTGGAGACTTGCAGGAGGTGGCCGATCAATGATTCTCTCTCATCATTGATGTTCCTATCCCTCTCTCCCTTCCTCTTTCTGAAATCAGTGAAATAAAACAAAAACAAAAAAACAAACCCACTCCCCCCCCCCAAAAAAAACACCAGAAAAAGAAACAGTTACAAGTTAATGTTAAATAAATACGAGAACATTCAGCAGTGGACATTCAAAATCTCTAAGGAGTGAAGGTCTCTGCTGTGTTAACACACGTTTAGGAGGCGGGGGGACTGTCTTGGAGCGGATGGCTCATGCTAGGGCGTGGGGCAAGCAAGTTTGTACAGTTAAGGGGAGGGCATCTTTATTAAAAATAAAAAAGTTTCAAATAAAAGAAAACGGAAGGCATTCAACATGATTAAAATGAGCTTTTAATACATGGATTGCCCTCATTCCACCTTTTGGGGCATAGTTCCAGAAACCTCCTCCCGCGCTGTATCCAGTGTGGAGACTTGCCAGTTTACCTCCTGTGTTGCTCAGATTCATGTACCCATCTGGACCCGCTCCCCTCGTCCCCACTGCTGTCGTCATCCCCCTTCGTCCTTCCTCTAGACCCCCATTCTCATCCTCTTGGAGTCAGTCCATCCTTTAAATCGGCCCTGAGGCCTCAGTCTGATCCACAGAGCTAATCCCTAGGTGGCTCCTCGTCCCTGCAGGCAGAGCGAGCTTACATGGACCGCGGGTCTTCGCTGTCTGCCTCTGCCTGTCCCTGCACCCTGACTTCTGGCCTCACCTGGCGCTCTGAGCTCTGTTCCCCGAGTGTGTCGTGCTGCTCCACGCCAGCAGCTAAGAGCCGGCTTGGAGACCTCTCCTCCTGGAAACCGCGTCCCCTCTCTGTGCTCCCGTGCGGCTCTCAGCACCATGTGGCAACATGCAGGTGTCTGCTCACATCAGCATGTCGGTGTCCTCCTCCCTGGCCACTCCTTGTTTGGCCATTCGCTCCCTTAGGGCAGCCCTGCCTCGCATGTCCTCCGGCTCAGTTCCCTCGATGGAATGTCCATTGAACTTCATTGGACACAGCCATCAGGTGAACCTAGTGAGATGCTTATCGGTCTTGCTAAAGGTTCCCAAGAGCGGTGTGCCCCTTCACTCTAATTAATAAAAGCACATCCTCGGGTGCGGGTTTTTTTAAATGAAAAATAAGTAAATAAAATTGTTTTCTGAAAATAGTTTGTGGTGACGTGAAGTAGTGGGAAGAACTGGATTCGGAGACAGATGGATTTCATTTCTCAGCTTTGCCTCTGTATGAGCCTGAGAAGTTCACTTCCACTGTCTGACAGTTCCCCTCTGTAAGGCCTAGCTCAGAGGGTTATTTTGAGAATTGAATTTGATATAATATGTAGTAAAATCACTTCTAAAACGAAGTTACAATCAGAATGTAAATCAAGATGATTTTGCACTGCTTTTCCCTTCTACAAAATAAACTAGATAACTAGATAATGTGGCAAATTGAATGGATGGAAATTGTGGGGCCAAGCCAGGACTGGCCATGGAAAATGTTGGTGCCCAGTGAGCACACACGGGGCGGAGCTGAGGTCTGGAGACTCGACAACCACAGAGACAGAGCACGCCTGAGACGCTGCAGAGCAGGCTGGCTGTGAGTCTCAAGTCCTGAGTCTTTCTTCTTAAATAGTGTGTGAGCCCTTTGCAGAGAGAGTCAGACTTGGACATAATCCGCATTAAATCTTCTAAAATGAGGCAGCATCAGTGATCTAACCTCTTTTGCTCTCGTTGATGTACTATGAACTCAAGAAACCAAAATTAAGAAGGTAGAGAAAAAAACCTAGCATGGAAGGAAAGTTAAAAATAATATTAAAATATTAAAATGGAAAAATGAAAATGTGAGGTTGTGCAGAAAATGAGGACTTAGAGCTGTAGTGGTCAGTCAGCAAAAGTGAAAACATTTCCGATTATTTATGGTTATTAGGCAGGGCTGGGGGAGAACAAAGGAACCTGTGGGATGGCTTCAATGGAGAGGAGTTTTCCTGGTTTGCCTTCTACTCTGGGTGTTTTCTTTGTTTTCAACCCAACTGGTAAACAAAGGAAGTAATTCTATTCTCTCGCAGAGACTGAGAGGATATTAAATTACTTTCTCTGTTACTATTTAATGATCTTCTAAAATATTTACAAACCAACCTGCCTTGACTGTTTTGCACTGAGATATAGTTCATTGAAGTCTTGGAGATTTTGCCAGAATACTGGCTTCTTTCTAATAAGATGCACGAGCCATAACGTGTCTGGGAATGAACCAGAGGCTAGTGTCTGGGTCTTGCTTTCAGGCGCAGGGACTGAAGTGCCTTCCTGGGGAGCTCACTCCGTGGATCTCAAGGGCAGCCGCCCAGCCAGCTGCTGTCGCTGTTTCTAACGGGAATCATGCAAAAACACTTTTTGAAAATGTAGCTCGTGTGACACCACTCAGCCCTTAGCCAGGTTGTGTTCACTGCACCGTCATCTGGACCAGCGGTTCTCAACCTGTGGGTCGCGACCCCTGAAAATACATCCTGCATATCAAATATTTACATTACGATCCATAACAGTAGCAAAATTACAGTTATGAAGTAGCAACGAAAATACTTTCATGGTTGGGGGTCACCACAACATGAAGAACTGTATTAAAGGGTTGCGGCATTAGGAAGGTTGAGAACCACTGAATTCTGGACGGACGGCTCAGTGTAACACTGTGTACGTTTAAGCGCAGGAGGTCAGTATTTGTGGTGAAGACACTGATCTGCGGAGATGCTTCTCTGTTTTATGCGGACACTGTGACGAGCTTCTAATTTTTCCGTTCTGCCTGGTTCTGCCTTCTCCCTGCCTTCCGGTCAGCAGCCTCCTGGCCCTGAGCTGCTGGTGTGCTGTGTGGGACCCTCGCCCTGAAATAGGGGCTGTCATTAGTATCCCACTGATTGGTGGCAGGGCACTCCTTAACCAGTACCCTGCCGATGGGACACTGAGTGGGCTGTGTTTTTTACATACAGCTTTTTTATTTACATGCTTGGAGCTATTATGTACACATTTCCTAGCAGTGAAACTGCACTGTGTGAGTGTGTAGTGTCCCTAAAAATGTATACACACTTTAACAGATGATAGCTTAATTCTGAAAATGAAATGTATTTTAAGAGAAAAATTAATATTTTTTATATGTAAAAATATATTTTCTAATTTTTTTCCCTGTGATAATTCTTAAAATTCAGTGGTTTCGGTATTTAGACAAAGACAACTAGTTAAGGCACCTCATCTAGCGAAAGGACCTTTCATAAAAATCACATTTTTACACATTACTACTTCGCTGACTCACTTCTTGTCACACACAGAATACTATACCAGTAACCTCATAAACATTAAACAAAATACTTTTTCTTTTAGGAACTCTTTCATTTTCAAAAATATGGTTCCAAAGGGCAGTTTTCACTTGTGAATGACAAAAAGAGACCTGTGATTTGAAGTGGCCTAAATGTAACGACGTCTGGCTTCTGATGTCACCGACGCCCATGTGCTTTCCCTCGTCCCTCCTGTCTGACTGGCTTGTCTGCTGCTGAAGCGAAGTGGTAGCAGAGGGTCCTTTGCGTTGTTTTGCTTAGTTCCATGGGTGAGGGGGCATCATGTCTCCCTTGGATCATAAGACAATACATTCCTGATGGAAAGCTTGAGACCAACCCGTCCGAGGTGGCCACGTAAGGCTCTGAGCCAGAGGGGGGCTTTGCACCAGAAATGGGCTCGCTGCCCCTGGTCCGGATTTTTCTTTTTCCTCAGGTTTTGTGGGGTTTTTTTGGTCCAGATTTCTTTTTGGCCTCATTTGTAGCCAGGACCAAGCCCAGCGCCCGGTTAGACTTGCTGAAAGCGAATCCCCGTGGGTTCCATTCTGTGGTTTAGCTCCAAGACGGATGAGCTAAACCAGTCTTCCACAGGGGGACGCGCATGCCAGGTGTGGGACATGGGAACTTTATTTGCTTCTCTGTCTCAATAGCTACATGTGTGTTTTAATGTGCTTGAGAAAACAAGCGTTAGTGTCACATCAGACTCAGTTCACAGTCCTGCTTTGGATGAGCTAGGTCTTTTTTTAATGACGGTGCCATTTGAAGGACGTTGGCCAAATTATAGAAAGCCATTTAAGGGAATGATAGCTGGAACGTAGACATGGCAGAAGTGACAGATGTTGGAGAAACACAGTGGTGAGCGACACCTACTCATGTTTAGGATTAGAATCCAAAGTATCGTTGCTTTTTCTCCCTGGATGTAGTTAGTTAACTTAATTCTTCTGACTTAAATTCAGTGACAGACTGAGAACTGAATTTCTGTGAATCTTTAAGCCTTGCTTTCTAACGTGTAGCTTCTTGACACTTAGTGCTCTTATGGCGTGTGCCTTGTAGATCAAGACATTTTGCTCCTTTATTTTCCTAAGTACAAGTAATCATGTGGTGGTGGGAAAAGGAAGGAGAGTGAGTGTGTGAGAAAGATGGATGGGAGGAGGGTGATGGACAGGTGAGTAGGTTACCTGGACACCTGGATCGAGAAGAGTATAGTTGTGGGAGTTCACTTTCTCAGGCACCCCATCTCCCTGAGGAAGTCTCTAAGTCTGCCACAACTCTAACGGTTTATCAGTGGTTCTCAACCTTCTGGCCCTTTAAATACAGTTCCTCATGTTGTGACCCCACCATAAAATTATTTTCGTTGCTACTTCATAACTGTAATGTTGCTACTATTATGAATCGTAATGTAAATATCTGATAAGCAGGATGGTCTTAGGCGACCCCTGTGAAAGGGTTGTTCGACCGCCAAAGGGGTTGCGACCCACAGGTTGAGAACCGCTGGTTTAGGGAACTCTTAGGTTCTCTCATTGGTAAAGTGGGTTGCTGTGTGTGTATGTGTGTGTGTGTGTGGGGGGGGGGCATTAAAATGGGCTCCATGTAGAAATAGTTAGCTATTCCATATAAAAGACCTGAGACTCAGAGACATTGAATAGGCAGGTGACCTCTTCATAAATAACTGCTTACTGTTTATCAGTCACGCACAGACACTTCAGTTATGGAGGCAGCTGTTCTGAGCAGGGGCAGCCACAGTCCACACTTGCATGGCGTATGGAAGGGAAGGCCATGGCAGCCCTGATGTGCTGACGGATGTGACTGTCTGTGTCATTCTGTAGAATGGAAGCCTCTTGCCTGGAGCTGGCCTTGGAGGGGGAGCGCCTGTGCAAGGCTGGAGACTGCCGCGCGGGGGTGTCCTTCTTTGAAGCCGCAGTTCAGGTGGGAACCGAGGACCTGAAGACCCTCAGTGCTATCTACAGCCAGCTGGGCAACGCCTACTTCTACCTGCACGATTACGCCAAAGCCCTGGAATACCACCATCACGATCTCACTCTTGCAAGGTGATTGGCTTAAGCTTCTCAATGTCCTTTCTCCCTAAATGGTCACTTTCATGATATTTGTATTCAATTTAAAAGACCAATTGAATACATTTAGTGAGTTCTAATGAAATAGCATTGCATTTTAAAATGAATTTTTAGCCAAGACCGGTTTGGCTCAGTGGATAGAGCGTCGGCCTGCGGACTGAGGGGTCCCAGGTTCGATTCTGGTCAAGGGCATATACCTTGGTTGCGGGCACATCCCCAGTGGGAGGTGTGCAGGAGGCAGCTGGTCGATGTTTCTCTCTCATCGATGTTTCTGACTCTCTATCTCTCTCCCTTTCTCTCTGTAAAAAATCAATAAAAATATATTTTAAAATGAATCTTTAGGCTGAGTTTAATTAACTGAATGAGTGAGTTCTAATGAAATAGCATTGCATTTTAAAATGAATCTTTAGGCTGAGTTTAAGTAACTGAATGAATAATAGTGAAATGACCCTAGAGTTTAATTAAATGAGTGAAAATTAATTACACTTAAGTACAAAAATGTAAGTTTTAAATTTTTATTCAAAGTAGGTTTCAAGGCTAATGGGTCTTTCTTACATAAGCACATTAGTTGTCCTCTAGGGAAACTGTGTTCTGGCCACTTTAGATTTAAGTGCTTTACTTTATTTATTTATTTATTTTTTCAGGACGATTGGAGACCAGCTGGGGGAAGCCAAAGCGAGTGGTAATCTGGGCAACACCTTGAAAGTTCTTGGAAATTTTGACGAAGCCGTAGTCTGTTGTCAGCGACACCTCGATATTTCCAGAGAACTTAACGACAAGGTAAAAAGGGGACATTTTCACTGAATTGGTTTGTGTTTTAATTCTGTTTAATCATTTAATCAAGTTAATACCAAAAAAGAAAATATTCATAGAAAACAGAAGAACCATACAAATGATTAAGTAGAGGGGAAAGTAAACAATGAGAGGCCCTTCGTCCTGGCGGCCATTGTTGGGTCCTGTGTGGGTGGCCAGCATAACCTTCCTCTGGGCCATGAGGTCCCGGACATTGCAGAGTGTGTGGTAGGCATTGCACCACCTGCCCTCCGGGTGCAAAAGGTGAAAGTAAACACTGCGCCGTCTCCACAGGTGGGAGAGGCGAGAGCGCTCTACAACCTGGGCAACGTGTACCACGCCAAAGGGAAGAGCTTCAACTGCCCCGGCGCTCAGGACGCGGGCGACTTCCCCGAGGAGGTGCGCGCTGCTCTGCAGGCCGCCGTGGATCTCTACGAGTGAGTCGTGCTGCCAGCCGGGGGTCTGCTGTGCACCCACGCCAAAGGGAAGAGCTTCAACTGCCCCGGCGCTCAGGACGCGGGCGACTTCCCCGAGGAGGTGCGCGCTGCTCTGCAGGCCGCCGTGGATCTCTACGAGTGAGTCGTGCTGCCAGCCGGGGGTCTGCTGTGCATTCTTTTTTTTTTCACATCCTCTCCAGCACTTGTCGTTTGTTGATTTGTTGATGATAGCCATTCTGACAGGTGTGAGATGGTACCTCATTGTTGTTTTGATTTGCATCTCTCGGATGATTAGTGACTTTGAGCATGTTTTCATATGTCTCTTGGCTTTCTGAATGTCCTCTTTTGAAAGGTGTCTATTTAGATCCTTTGCCCATTTTTTGATTGGATTGTTTATCTTCTTTTTGTTAAGTTGTATGAGTTCCCTATAAATTTTGGAGATTAGGCCCTTATCAGATATGACGTTGGCAAATATGTTTTCCCACGCAGTGGGTTTTCTTGTTGTTTTGTTGATGGTTTCTTTTGCTGTGCAGAAGCTTTTTATTTTGATGTAGTCCCATTTGTTCATTTTCTCTTTAGTTTCAACTGCCCTAGGAGCTGTATCAGTGAAGAAATTGCTTTGGCATATGTCTGAGATTTTGTTGCCTTTGGATTCTTCTAGAATTTTTATGGTTTCCTGTCGTACATTTAAGTCCTTTATCCATTTTGAGTTTATTTTTGTGTATGGTGTAAGTTGGTGGTCTAGTTTCATTTTCTTGCATATATCTGTCCAATTTTCCCAACACCATTTATTGAAGAGACTACCTTGGCTCCATTGTATGTTCTTGCCTCCTTTGTCAAATATTAATTGAGCATATTGGTTCGGGCTGATTTCTGGGGTCTCTATTCTATTCCATTGATCTATATGTCTGTTCTTGTGCCAGTACCAGGCAGTTTTGAGAACAGTGGCTTTGTAATACAGCTTGATATCTGGTATTGAGATCCCACCTACTTTGTTCTTTCTCAGGATTGCTGCAGCTATTCGGGGTCTTTTTTTATTCCAGATGAATTTTTGGAGAGTTCGTTCTAGATCTGTGAAGTATGCCGTTGGTATTTTAATGGGAAGTGCGTTGAATTTATAGATTGCTTTGGGTAGTATGGACATTTTAATTATGTTGATTCTACCAATCCATGAACACGGTATGTTCTTCCATCTGTTTATGTCTTCCTCTATCTCTTTTTTCAACGTCCTGTAGTTTTCTGAGTAGAGGTCTTTTACCTCTTTAGTTAAGTTTATTCCTAGGTATCTTAATTTTTTTGGTGCGATGGTAAATGGGATTGTTTTTCTAATCTCTCTTTCTGAAAGTTCACTATTGGTGTATAGAAATGCCTCAGATTTCTTGGGGTTAATTTTGTATCCTGCTACATTGCCAAATTCATGTATTAAGTCTAGTAGATTTTTGATGGAGTCTCTAGTGTTTTGTATGTATAATATCATGTCATGTGCAAATAAGGACAGTTTTACTTCTTCTTTTCCAATTTGGATGCCTTTTATTTCTCCTTCTTGTCTAATTGCAATGGCTAATACTTCCAGTACTATGTCGAACAGGAGTGGTGAGAGTGGGTGCTGTGCATTCTTTACCCCAGAGGAAGCTTTAAGGTTTGGCAAAGGTTGAAAAGTTTGGACTAGCAAGTAAAAATAAACCAAATTGTTCTGAAAGGTTACAGAGTTGTATTAGTGTCCCCAGAAAAAGCTTCCTTTTAGACTGCAGACCAGCGCCACTTAGTGGCAGAAAAAAGAAGTACCTTGGTTAGTCTAAGTTACTTTGGGTAAGTTTAGTCTCTTATCAGTAGAATCTCAGAGGACTGCTCGCTTAGGGGTTTCAAGACTGACTGCGTCCTTGACTCTGGGCAGAAACGCACCGGATGGTTTAGTAAAATGTCCCCAGCCAGTTCCTACAGCCACCCTCCACCACAGACACACCTTTAAGATGTGGCACGTTGTGGCTGTAAGCTTTTCTAAAAACTGTTTTATGATAAAAAGACTTAGATGTGTAAATCTAATAAGTAAATCCCCCATCCTGTCTTTTCACAACTTTCTGCTCTCAGGGAAAACCTATCGCTGGTGACCGCTCTGGGTGACCGAGCCGCCCAGGGACGTGCCTTTGGAAACCTGGGAAACACACACTACCTCCTGGGCAACTTCAGAGACGCGGTCATAGCCCACGAGCAGGTCAGTGCAGGCCCTGGAGCAGCTTCTCCAGCCGTGTCCGCAGGGATGAGACTGTTCCTGACTGTCATGGCTCTGTCTCACCGGAGCTTTCTCTTTCAGCGTCTCCTTATAGCAAAAGAATTTGGGGATAAAGCAGCCGAAAGAAGAGCGTACAGCAACCTTGGAAATGCATATATATTTCTTGGAGAATTTGAAATGGCCTCTGACTACTACAAGTGAGTCTGGTATTTCTGTGTAAGTGTGAGATGAGCAGGTATGCAGCCTGTCAGTCACAGGAGGCTCAGAACCTGCGCTTGGCTGCACAGTGGCAGTGGGACCCGGGCTTCTAAGCCTCGGGGTCCTCATCTGAAACGACAGACACCACACCTGCTTTTGGACTGTTGTGAGGACTGCCTGGAGGACTGTATGAAGTGCTCTCTTAGCATAGGGCCTGCACAGCGCTCAATGAGTATTACTGTGCCCGAGGTTTAACAGCAGCAGTATGACCCCTTTATACGGTTACTTTTACCTTAAAACTTTTTTAAAGAAATCCTTACCTTGCTTATTAGCATGTGTAATATGTATATTTATATGCATTTTCTCACCTGATTTGCAGAGGCCAAAAGAAAGCCTGGTAACAAAAATGGGTGGAGCTTTCTCTTTCAGCGTCTCCTTATAGCAAAAGAATTTGGGGATAAAGCAGCCGAAAGAAGAGCGTACAGCAACCTTGGAAATGCATATATATTTCTTGGAGAATTTGAAATGGCCTCTGACTACTACAAGTGAGTCTGGTATTTCTGTGTAAGTGTGAGATGAGCAGGTATGCAGCCTGTCAGTCACAGGAGGCTCAGAACCTGCGCTTGGCTGCACAGTGGCAGTGGGACCCGGGCTTCTAAGCCTCGGGGTCCTCATCTGAAACGAGAGACACCACACCTGCTTTTGGACTGCTGTGAGGACTGCATGGAGGACTGTATGAAGTGCTCTCTTAGCATAGGGCCTGCACAGCGCTCAATGAGTATTACTGTGCCCGAGGTTTAACAGCAGCAGTATGACCCCTTTATACGGTTACTTTTACCTTAAAACTTTTTTAAAGAAATCCTTACCTTGCTTATTAGCATGTGTAATATGTATATTTATATGCATTTTCTCACCTGATTTGCAGAGGCCAAAAGAAAGCCTGGTAACAAAAATGGGTCCTCAATTCCCCATGATCACTGGGCTCTTCCCACCGTCGCACCTCTCTGCCCGCCTTTGGCCCTCGCTCATCCGTTGGCAGTCCCAGCTCCTCTGTGGCAGGTCTTTCTAATCTGTCCATGGACAACGGCGTGTGCAGACTGCCTGGCGTGGCCTGCTCTGTGCTTCTGGGGTGTCTGGAGTTTCCCCTAATTAGTGGGGATTAAGGCCCGCACAGACTTTGGCAGAATCCAGTTGCATGAGCCAAAGACACAGTGATTCATTTGTATTTTATTGTTAGAGAATCCAATGTGAGAGAGCTCTGAATATTTTGTCATTTTTAAAAAAGGTAAAATTGCTTTAGGTCCATCTAAAAAGCTAGAATGTCATCCCACCTTACTTTAAACATATTAATTAATGGTTAATATTTGTTGGCCGATTAGATATGAAATATCCTTCCAAATAAAATATACCACTCTTTCCAAATAAAATATATCACCCAGAAAGTCTAGCCGTGGGGCCCACACTCTAACTGCTACACTGGCTTCTCATTGGCGGTTCCATAGGCATTGGGTAGAATTCGGTTAATCTTTAAACGCACTAAATATTTTTCATGAGTTTGTGACTAATGGCCTAACTCAGTATTTTAAATTTCGAACAGATGTAAAGGCAACATATGATTGAAAGAGAGGGTATGTGACTGTCTCTTCATTTAAGTTATTGTCACTGCAACAGGGAAGGTTTTCTTACATGTTACCAAGTGTTCACATGCAAAGCACTTGCTCTCGTGTCATTACTCCTTTATCTGGAAAACTAACAGGATTCTCACCTACCCTAAAAGTCTGGATTTGCTTTTGTGTTTCATTTTGTCTGGAGTCCTGGAGATAGTGTAGGATCTTAGGCTCTAAAACAGATTCACTTTACAGGCAGGTGGAAAAGTGAGTGTTAATTATGATGATGGTTATGTAAGCATTAATTTCTTCTTCAGAAAGACATTGCTGTTGGCTCGGCAGCTTAAAGACAGAGCCGTGGAGGCGCAGTCTTGTTACAGCCTGGGGAACACCTACACGCTGCTCCAGGACTACGACAAGGCCATCGACTACCACCTGAAGCACTTGGCCATCGCGCAGGAGCTCAAGGACAGGTGAGTGCCCACCTCGCTACTGCGGTGGCGGTGAAACAGGTGTTTTAGTAAAGTGTCTTTTGTGTTTCCTCTTTAATTTCTTTTTAAGGAAGTTCTTGTTTCAGTAACATCCTCTGTACAGTTTTGTTGGAAGGTTCGCACGTTAGGGGATTAGCCTGGTCCCAGGGAGCCCTCAACCCAGATCAGTAACTAGGTCACAGTCCAACCACTGCAGCCGCCCTCGACAGATGAGTGTGGGATGGGGTGGACTGACGCACGGCCGTGTGACGGGACGGCTGCTACCTGATGCCGCTCATTGTCGTCTGCAGGAAGGAAGGTCCCTTATGTCCAGTGCCCCCCCCCCCTTTTTTAAGAGAAGCTAGAAGTCCTGAGTTTTATATGAAGCCTTCTGATTGTTAATGTTGGTAGCTAATTCCTTTTTTTCACTGGATGAACAAACAGCATATATGTGCAGGCCTGTGGTCTGTGTTGTGTATGTTAGGGAAGTAGGTTTCACCTCAGGACAGAGGAGAACCTCTCTTACACTGCCCGAGGGAGCGAATCCTCCCCTCCCACCACTCCCCATGGTTCCCAGGCACGGGCTGCATGATCACTGGGGCTGCAGAGAACATGGGCGGGGGACAGACCCGCCCCTGCGACTTGATTGGTTTGTCATACAGTGTGTGTTTAAAAAGGTGTTTTAATACTGGACTCTGGGTTTTCAGTGTTTTCTGGGTATTCTAGCTTGTCTCTAGCATTGAGATGGTAGGTTTTTTATATCAAATACCACGTAAATGCGGAGCACTGTGTGTACCTCAGTTACTGCTGGGCAGCATGACCACGCTCACCTCCCTCCGGATAACGGCAAGTTTGCTTTGATCATTTCGTAGAATCGGTGAAGGGAGAGCGTGCTGGAGCTTGGGAAACGCGTACACAGCCCTAGGCAACCACGAGCAAGCCATGCACTTTGCTGAAAAGCACCTGGAGATTTCGAGAGAGGTAAGGAGCCGAAAGGCTGGTCTGTGCTGCTGTGACTCCCGGTCGGCAGGGACAGCCTGGCACTGCCAGGATCACTCCTCTGCGGCCAGTGCTGAGCCGATATTGTTCCCAGCATCTGAGATGCTGATCGGAGGTGTGTTCGAACTGGCCTTGATGTGGATTCTGAGGCTGGTTTCCAGGGACCGGACGGAATATGCCCGCCACGCCCCCAGTTCATGGACCAGCAGTGTGTGTGGGAGGAAAAGCACGGCTTTTAGAATCAAGGGCTGGCTCCTGCTACAGTCCTGCCATCTGCCTATTTGAGCTTAGAAACCTTTCTGAGCCTCACTTCTGTCATCTGTAAAATGGGAATATCTAGCTTGCAAGTCATCATAAGGATGAGATAATATCTATAAAGTGGCCCTGGCCAGTGGTCTCAGTGGTTAGAATGTCACCCCATGCACCAAAGGGTTGCAGGTCCAATCCCTGAGCCCCAGTTGGTCGGGAGACAACCAATCAATGTGTCTCATATCGCTGTTTCTCTCTGTCTCCACCCCTCCCTCCCTCCCTCTCTAAAAATCAATCCTTGAGTAAGGATTTTTAAAAAGTATATGAAGGATATATACATATAAGCACACATATATATGCCTAAGATGATGTCTAGTGCTGGCTTAATAAATGTTAGCTACTACTATAGTATGGAAATAAAATATTCTAAGGAAATTTAATTCATATGATGCCAAGTTAATGTGTCACAGAAGAACCACACTATTATTTAATACTAGAGGCCCGCTGCATGACATTCGTGCACTGTGGGAGGGAATCCCTCAGCCCGGCCTGTGCCCTCTCGCAGTCTGGGAGCCCTAGGGGGATGTCCGTCAGTCCGACATCCTTAGTGCTGCTGCGGCAGCGGGCTCCCGCCACCGCCACCGCCGCTGTGCTCACCAGCCATGAGCCCGGCTTCTGGCTGAGCGCCTGTGGGAGCGCACTGATCACCAGGGGCAGCTCCTGCGTTGAGCGTCTTCCCCCTGGTGGTCATAGCGACTGGTCATTTCCACCATTCGGTCAATTTGTATATTAGCCTTTTATTACATAGGATGATCACAGATTAAGAGCAATCTAATATTTAGAGAACTAAAGAGCTGATCAAATAAAATTAGCTGTCCTATTGTCATGTTTTAGAAACTTCCCTTTTCTTCTATAAAAATCCCATTTAATTCATAGTCTCCTAATTCCAGTCGGTTCACAACATTCTCATCTAGTCTTCACGTTCTCTGTCCTTCCTCTGACACACACATGCTGTGGTTGTAGGTCGGGGACAGCAGCGGCGAGCTAACAGCGCGGCTGAACCTCTCAGACCTTCAGATGGTTCTCGGGCTGAGCTACAGCACAAACACCTCAGTGATGTCTGAAAACATTGAAATTGATAACAGCTCGCACGGTAAGTAATGGGTCTTCAAAACCCAACTGCATCCTTAAGGTTCACATTTAAATTGGTCATCACATGTTCACCAAATCCAGAGGATATATAACATAGGAAGTTCAACATTTTATTAACACAGGTTAATGACATTAAAACAAGGATTTGGGAGATTTTTAAAATCTGAAATTTGGTTCTTTATAAAAAGACTAACAGATATACAGCAAGATTACTCAAGGAAAAAAAAAAGTGGACATAATCTTCCCACTAACACAATGCCTGGCCCAGATGATTTCACTAGTGAGGTCTACCAGACACTGAAGAAAATTGATTCTAACTTTCCAAAAATTCTGTAGTCTTTCTGAGAACAGTATAACCTTGATTTCCAAACTAGACAGAACAATACAAGAAAGGTAAATTACAGGCCAGTCTTCACTCATGAGCATAGATGCAGAAACTCTAAATGAGATATCAGCAAACCAGGTCCAGCAGTGAATTTAATGTGGTTTTAAAAAATTTTTTTATTATTGATTTGAAAGAGAAACATTGATGAGAGAGAAACATTGATCGGCTGCCTCCTGTAACCCTGTAATCGCTTAAGTCGGAAAACTAAATATTAAGAAGGATGTCAGTTCTCCCCAACTGATGTAAATTTCATGCACTACCAAGCAATTCGCGAGTTATTTTGGGAAACTTGATGAGGCCACTTTCCTTTCATTCAATGTATATGGAAAAAAAAAAAAAAAAGCCTGAGAACTGAAAGCAAAGCATGAAAAACAAGAAATGGGATCATGTCTTGACATCACCCACAGGTACATAGATTTTAGAGCTGCAGTAACTAAAACGGTGTGCTGTGGGCATAGAGACAGACCCGAGGAAGGACAGACAGAACCTATACTTATATGCCTTCCTATATGGAAACTGTTACCTCACAAAAATGAATCCTTGCTGGATTAAAGATTTAAATATGGAAAACATTTAGAGCAGCAACGAGGCTGCTGGCTGACATTGCTGACTCTCTATCAGGCATTGCACTGACCCCTTACAGACGACGAGGAATTACCCCACACAGCGTGTCTTTATGACGCAAACACCGAGTCAGAGGAACTGCCCGAGGGAGGGAGTGGTCTCCTGAGTCTGTGCCAGGGGTCCTCAAACTTTTTAAACCGGGGGCCAGTTCACTGTCCCTCAGACCGTTGGAGGGCCGGACTATAGTTTAAAAAAAAACTAGTCGGCTGCCAAGCAACAGGCAGCGGTGGCAAAAACACCCGGCGGGACGGATAAATGTTTTCGGCGGGCCGCAGTTTGAGGACCCCTGGTCTGTGCTGTGCCGCCTCTGCATGTAGTGTATCTTCATGATGCCCGAGGGGAAGGATGTCTCAGGCAGAAAACAAAACCACTAAGGAAAAGACTGATGTTGAAATTAAGAACTTTGTTAAAAGAACCCATAAAGAGGTAAAACACTGAGAGGACAATGCCACACAGTATGATTAAAAAGGGATTTGTATTCTCACTGTGTAAGAACTCCTATGAATTAGGACCAAGATAAATAACCCACCTAAAAAACGGGCAAAAGCGATGAACAGAAGAAACACAAACAGCCCAAAGGTACTCACAGATATTTAACTTCATTGAGTCAGGGAAAACCACAGTGAAGTAATTCTGAAACCTATGCAGTAGAGGGAAAGATCTGGTAATACCAGTATTGAAACGATGTGGGTGATGGAGTCTTATGCAATACTGATTGGAATAGAAATTGGTCTATTTTGAAGAATAACTTGGCAGCGTTGTGGTAAAGTTGAAGGTGTACCAACCTTATGGTCCAGCAATTCTGCTCCAGTTACAGAGCCCAGTATCCAACCTGGGAGAGACACTTGCACACTAAGAGAGGTCCAGGAATTTCTGGAGTAGTATCGCTTACAGTAAAAAATTGGGAGCAACCTAAATATCTGTCTTAGTAAAACGAATCTGTAAATAATTTCCTAGTCTTAAAAAGGCAATGAAAATTAATTAAACCAAATTATACATATCAACTTGGACGAGTCTCACAAATGTAAGGGTGCTCCAAGGAAGTAAGTTAGAGTAGCGGTCGCCAATCGGTGGCCCGTGAGGTCTGAAAGGTTGGTGACCGCTGAGTTAGAGGATATGTACAGTATGAGACCATTTATATAATGTATATAATAAGCTTTATTGCTTAGCTATACACATATTTTAATAAAAACATGAAAAATTATAGGAAGAGAGAGGGACATTGTTGGGGGAGTTAATGTGTTGGTAACGGTTTATTTTTTAAGCTGGGTAGGTATCATGTTTTCCTTATGCCTTTTAAAATATTGCTTCTCTTTAGAAGATTGAGGTGGAATGAAAGTTTTTTACGTTTAATGATAATTTTGTTGAAGAAATGTTGAACTTTTTAACATACTTTCTGACAGGCAGTAAACCTGTCATCTAATGAAACCTTAAATGAAATGGGTAACTAAAGTTATGTAGTGCTTGGCTGTTATTTTGATTCTTACCCCAAAATTGAAGGCCTAAAGCCTTTTCCTTATGTTTTTACTTACGTAAATCCCTCTCCAGTTTGTCTGGGTTTATTTTTAAGACGTTAGGACAAAGACAATTATTATAAACGCTTTTCCTAAATTAAGGGTCAATGTTAGTAACCCAAGTTAGTTTCCAAGCAAAATGTAACTTTCTTACATCAAGAGATGTAAGGCCATAGTCTGTTGAGAGCGAGGCCATAGTCTATTTCTATAGAAAACTGTTTTTTAAAAAATATTTTTTTATTGATTTCAGAGAGGGGAGATAGATAGAAACATTAATATAGAGAATTATTGGCTGCTTCCTGCACACCCCCTACTGGGGATCAAGCCTGCAACCTGGGCATGTGCCCTTGGCTGGAATCAAACCTGGGACCCTTCAGTCCGCAGGCTGACGCTCTATCCACTGAGCCAAACCAGCTAAGGCTAGAAAATTATTCTTAACACGTGGTACAGATTTCCTACTTCCATATGGGTTTGTGTAACAGACTTTAAAATTCAATGACAAATGCTAGAGTGATGCTGAATTTGTAGTGTTAAGGTCTCCCTGGTTTATTTAAATTGCTTTTTTACAAAGGTGCACGCCCCAAGTTTGGACGCCGACACAGTATGGAAAACATGGAACTTATGAAATTAACACCAGACAAGGTGGGTAGTTTTTATATTTTAAATTTCTTAAACTGTTATTAAAAATATTTTAGTAATTTTTAAAAAGTTATGTTTTTATTGACATCAGAGAGGAAGGGAGAGATAGAAACAGCAATGATGAGAGAGAATCAATGATTGTCTGCCTGCTGCACACCCCACACAGGGGATCGGCCCACAACTTGGGCATGTGCCCTGACCGGGAATCAAACTGACCTCCTGGTTCATAGATCGATGCTCAATACTGAGCCACACTAGCTATTTTAGTAACTTTTAATTTAAATTAAATAGTTAATTTTTTACGTACAGTTGATTCTCATTATTCATGGACTCCATATTTATAGAGTTGTCTACTCACTAAAATTTGTGACTTCCAAAAAATATTCATGGTGCTTTTCCCCTGATGTAAGATCTAATGTTTTTGGTTGGAGTTATATTGGTTTCAGGTGTATGAGTTGATGTTTGTATATATTTCTCCTATGCATTAAAAAATATTTTGAATCTGTTGTTCAAAGGTGGTAATGCAAAACAAACACAGATACAGAGAGCAAACTGAGGGTTGCCAGATGGGAGGGGGTTTGGTGGGCTGGGTGAAAAGGATTTAGAAATTGGCAATTACAAAATAGTGACAGGGCATATAGTCAATCATGTAATAACTATGTATGGTGCCAGGTGGGAACTAGACTTAATGGTGGGGGGGTCACTTTGTAAGTTATATACATGTCTAATCACTGTGTTGTACATCTGAAACTAATATAATATTGTATGTCAACTGTAATAGGAAAATCTATTCAACCATTTTTAAAGAGGTTGTTACCTATGTTTAAACCAGATCATATAAATTTGATTAGACTTTTGCCTATTGAGAATTTAGTAATGGTTATGGAAACACTACAGCTCTATTGACAAAAAATGCTGCTGTGTAAGTTTTAGGTGTTAAATTTTGCAGTTAAATTTTACATATATCCAACATTTCTGGGTGTAATATTTAAGTGACTCACACCCAGAATAAAACCCTGGCTCTTTCTCTGACCATTCAAAGTTTATTTTTATGGGATTTCTTATTCTTTGGTTTTGAAAAGCCACCATGTTGTTATGATAATGAGAAATCTACAGTATGCATTTGGTACAAGCTATTGAAATAATGAACTATCCTGGCAAGAAGGAATTTGTTAAAAGCTCTAAGCCTCGCCCTAGCGGGTGTCTCCGTAGGTTGGAGTGTCGTCCCATACACCAAAAGGTTGTGAGCTCCAGGTCAGGGATCGTATGGGAGGCAACCAATCGATGTTTCTCTCCTTCCCTTCCTCTCTAACAAGCATGTCCTCAGGTGAGGATTAAAAAAAAATACAACAAAATGGTCTAAGCCTCACCCCCCAATACTGAGAGAGTGGATGGCGGGTTAATATTCTAGGAAACCAGAGGTGGTTTCTTCACGCTCTGCTTTACATGTGCGTTTATAATCCTGCAGGTACAGAACTGGAACAGTGAAATTCTTGCGAAACAAAAACCCCTCATTGCCAAACCTTCTGCAAAGCTACTCTTTGTCAACAGATTGAAGGGGAAAAAATACAAAACTAGTACCTCCACTAAGGTTCTCCAAGATGCCAGGAATCCCATTGAGCACCGAGTTCCAAACCCCCAGAGGGTACGTATGTTTAAAATAAGGTTCTGAGTCCAGTTCTCCCTTAGCCACGTTTGCTCTCCAAGGTTTGTTACCTGTGATCAACCGCAGTCCAAACTTCAACTGAAAATTCCAGAGTAAATAACTCAAGTTCTGAGTTGCACCTTGTTCTGAGTGGGGTGATGAGATCTCATGTTGTCCGTCTGTCTGGCCCAGGACGTGAGCCATCTCTGTCCAGTGTCCCCACAGTGTACACGCTCCCTGCCTGTCAGTCGCTCCGTAGCCGGTTATCAGATCACCTGTGGAGGTATCGCAGTGCTGTGTTCTAGTGGCCCTATTATATCGTGACCCTATTGTATAGTGGCCCCAAAGCACAAGAGGAGCTGGCAGTGCGGATGTGCCCGAGGGAGAGGGAAACCGCCTGAGGCGGTGCCTGTCACTGATACTTGCCTGACTCATTCAGGACCTGGAGCAGTGCCCCGAGTCTGAGGTCCCTTGCTTTAGCCTTAGAAATACAAAGATTAAAAATTAAATGACTACAAATGCTTTTTAGTAATAACATCGCCATCACGTGTTACTTCTACAAAGAAAACGCCAATTTTTTTTTAAATATTTTATTTATTTTTCACAGAGAGGAAGGGAGAGAGATAGAGAGTTAGAAACATTGATCAGCTGCCTCCTGCACATCTCCTACTGGGGATATGCCCGCAATACATGCCCTTGACCGGAATCGAACCTGGGACCTTTCAGTCCGCAGGCCGACGCTCTATCCACTGAGCCAAACCGGTTTCGGCGAAAACGCCAATTTTTAATCCTCATCTTGTTCCATTGGTGACCTGGGATATTTAGCTTTTCTCTCTGTCTCAGAAATTCAGTGCAGACACGATGGGAGAGGAAGGGTTCTTTGACCTCCTGAGCCGATTTCAGAGCAACCGGATGGACGACCAGCGGTGCTGCTTACAAGACAAGACCTGCGGGACGGCTTCCGGCACAGCTCCGTCCACTCCCCCGAGAGTGAAGCTAAAAAGTGAGTTACCTCTGCTTCTCCCCAATTCTCATAGCTCCCTTAGTTATTTCTGAGAACTCAGTTCTAATGGGAAGTACAACAGCTGAGCCCAAATACTGGCATTTGTGCAGGTCGAACAAGGCGGGTGTCAGTTCCCGAGTGTATCTGCCTCCCTGCTCCTCTTAGGGAAGCGGTTCTCAACCTGTGGGTCTCGACCCCTTTGGCGGTCGAACGACCCTTTCACAGGGGTCGCCTAAGACCATCCTGCATATCAGATATTTACATTATGATTCATAACAATAGCAGCATTACAGTTATGAAGTAGCAACGAAAATAATTTTATGGTTGGCTCACAACATGAGGAACTGTAGCAGCATTAGGAAGGTTGAGAACCACTGTCTTAGGGAAGAAAACGACAGTTGTATGTAATACGAAGGTGCTTCCCATCTGGATGAAAAGAAACTTCTGAAACAGGTGACTTCCTCTGCCCTAGAGCAGCGGTCGCCAACCTTTCGGACCTCACGGACCCCTGGTTGCCGACTGCCGCCCTAGGGCACCTGCCCGCAGCACTTAACTCTAAGTGTAGTTATTAGCTCGATGGTTCCTATCCAGGTGGAATGAGAACACTGTCCCACTTGTCCTGTCAGACACATTATGGAAGAGAAACAACTTCACCTTGTAAAATCGAGCTCTGCACAAGAGGGAAATGCAGTAACATTGGAAGCACCCCCAAATGGACGTTAGGGGTTCTCTGGATCCACTCCCCTGTCCACCAGAAACAGAGCCAAGCAGGAAGGAGCTGTGTCTGTAACTAATATGCCTGATGTTTGGGCGGTTTCCTGTTCGTAGCACCATCTGTCTCCGTGGTGTCCCCCAACACGGACGAGTTTCTGGATCTCCTGGCCAGCTCGCAGAGCCGCCGCCTGGACGACCAGAGGGCCAGTGTCAGTAACTTGCCAGGGCTTCGTCTGACCCCAAACAACAACCAGTCTGTCCTGGGCCACCTGGTGGCGAGTGACAAGGAGCCTGACGAAGACTTCTTCGACATCCTCGTCAAGTGTCAGGTACGTGCCTGTTCGCGTCACGCTGTGCCTGGCTCTGGCGGGATTAGGATTCTGCGGCGGGCAGGGCTGTTTGGTGAGGTGACGTGGAGAAAAGACTCAAAGAAATGGGAGAAAACCTGCAAAAGAGCCCGTCTGCCCTAACCTTTAGGAGCAGCATCAGGAGCAACCAGTGGCTAAGTTAGTGTAGGGCCCTTTCTAGACTGTTTAGCGTTTGGGAGAAATGCTCACAGTGCAGTAGCTTTCACATTTCAGCTGTTTCAATAATTACTAACCACTGAGCTTCGGGAAAGAGGAAAAGAATGCTTATTTTCACTGAGAAGAGGCATTTCCTCTGTCTGGCCCCATTTACTTAGCCACAGTGCTGGGTGCTATTCTGGACAGTGCGAGGCCTTAGACACGTTTGCAGGGATAAGAGTGTGAGTCGGGCAGCGAGACAAAGGCTGTGGCTGGAGTGTCTGTGTGAGGTGTGGTGGTTTGGGAAGACATTTCTGAAGAGACCGGAATGAGCAGCATTAGGAAGGTTGAGAACCACTGTCTTAGGGAAGAAAACGACAGTTGTATGTAATACGCAGGTGCTTCCCATCTGGATGAAAAGAAACTTCTGAAACAGGTGACTTCCTCTGCCCTAGAGCAGCGGTCGCCAACCTTTCGGACCTCACGGACCCCTGGTTGCCGACTGCCGCCCTAGGGCACCTGCCCGCAGCACTTAACTCTAAGTGTAGTTATTAGCTCGATGGTTCCTATCCAGGTGGAATGAGAACACTGTCCCACTTGTCCTGTCAGACACATTATGGACGAGAAACAACTTCACCTTGTAAAATCGAGCTCTGCACAAGAGGGAAATGCAGTAACATTGGAAGCACCCCAAATGGACTTTAGGGGTTCTCTGGATCCACCCCCCTGTCCACCAGAGACAGAGCCAAGCAGGAAGGAGCTGTGTCTGTAACTAATATGCCTGATGTTTGGGCGGTTTCCTGTTCGTAGCACCATCTGTCTCCGTGGTGTCCCCCAACACGGACGAGTTTCTGGATCTCCTGGCCAGCTCGCAGAGCCGCCGCCTGGACGACCAGAGGGCCAGTGTCAGTAACTTGCCAGGGCTTCGTCTGACTCCAAACAACAACCAGTCTGTCCTGGGCCACCTGGTGGCGAGTGACAAGGAGCCTGACGAAGACTTCTTCGACATCCTCGTCAAGTGTCAGGTACGTGCCTGTTCCAGTCACGCTGTGCCTGGCTCTGGCGGGATTAGGATTCTGCGGCGGGCAGGGCTGTTTGGTGAGGTGACGTGGAGAAAAGACTCAAAGAAATGGGAGAAAACCTGCAAAAGAGCCCGTCTGCCCTAACCTTTAGGAGCAGCATCAGGAGCAACCAGTGGCTAAGTTAGTGTAGGGCCCTTTCTAGACTGTTTAGCGTTTGGGAGAAATGCTCACAGTGCAGTAGCTTTCACATTTCAGCTGTTTCAATAATTACTAACCACTGAGCTTCGGGAAAGAGGAAAAGAATGCTTATTTTCACTGAGAAGAGGCATTTCCTCTGTCTGGCCCCATTTACTTAGCCACAGTGCTGGGTGCTATTCTGGACAGTGCGAGGCCTTAGACACGTTTGCAGGGATAAGAGTGTGAGTCGGGCAGCGAGACAAAGGCTGTGGCTGGAGTGTCTGTGTGAGGTGTGGTGGTTTGGGAAGACATTTCTGAAGAGACCGGAATGAGGCAAAGCATCAGCCACGTGAAGGAGATTCCACAGAGACGGAAGTCCCAGGGGGGTGAGTGAGGGGAAGGTGCCGGAGGGTCTGCATGATGGCCTGGCTGTCCATGGGAACCAACCTGGCCATTCAGCACAAAGACGGGTGACCAGAGTGGCGGCAGAGATAGAGGGCGGGACAGAGAGTCAAGGACGGCTCCAGCCCGTGGGGTGGATGGTGCCGGGCGGGCAGGGCTGTTTGGTGAGGTGACGTGGAGAAAAAACTCAAAGAAATGGGAGAAAACCCGCCAAAGAGCCCGTCTGCCCTAACCGTTAGGAGCAGCATCAGGGGCAACCAGTGGCTAAGTTAGTGTAGGGCCCTTTCTAGACTGTTTAGCGTTTGGGAGAAATGCTCACAGTGCAGTAGCTTTCACATTTCAGCTGTTTCAATAATTACTAACCACTGAGCTTCGGGAAAGAGGAAAAGAATGCTTATTTTCACTGAGAAGAGGCATTTCCTCTGTCTGGCCCCATTTACTTAGCCACAGTGCTGGGTGCTATTCTGGACAGTGCGAGGCCTTAGACACGTTTGCAGGGATAAGAGTGTGAGTCGGGCAGCGAGACAAAGGCTGTGGCTGGAGTGTCTGTGTGAGGTGTGGTGGTTTGGGAAGACATTTCTGAAGAGACCGGAATGAGGCAAAGCATCAGCCACGTGAAGGAGATTCCACAGAGACGGAAGTCGGGGGGTGAGGAGTGAGGGGAAGGTGCCGGAGGGTCTGCATGATGGCCTGGCTGTCCATGGGAACCAACCTGGCCATTCAGCACAAAGACGGGTGACCAGAGTGGCGGCAGAGATAGAGGGCGGGACAGAGAGTCAAGGACGGCTCCAGCCCGTGGGGTGGATGGTGCCGTTTAATGAGACCGGAAGGCAGAGGAGAAACCTGACTGGGTCGAAACAGCAAGAGTTCCCTCACATGTAAATCTAGGGCACCGAACCAGACATTCAGCTAAGAAGGCATTTGGATATGAAAGTGTGACCCCAACAGAGACGTGACTTTGGGAGTCAGCAGCAGGTAACGGTATTAAAGCCCTGGAAAGAGATGACACCTGAGCAGCAGAGAAGGAAGCAGAGGACTCGGCGCTGCAAATCCAACTGATAGAGGAATGTCTGCAACCAGCCAGAGCCGGAAGCCCTGGGAGTGTAAAGCCACGCGCAGCAGTTTTGAAGGATGTTCGCCTGTGTCACGTGCTGCTAAAAGCCTTGTAAGATGATGGCTAAGTAAGATGATGATTAGATTTGACAACATGGAGATTAGTGATTTTGAAAGGTACTGTTTTAGTGACATGATAGGGACAAAGGATGGAGTGGGTTGGGAAGTAGAGAGGAGGAGGAGTAACTGAAGGAGGCGGAGTGTACACGCCTGGAGGTGGGAGCAAGCAGGAATCTTTTCTCAGCAGAATAAGTAATAGGGTCATAAGCTGAAAAGAAAGGAAGTGGAGCACAGCTAACACTTTGTGAAACTAAAAGCCTGCGTGCAGTGAAAGGAACAGGACTGCTGGCCTGTGCTGAGGACTCACTGGAGTTGAACTACGTCCGGGGCTGCTGTGTGTCTTCTCCAGTCACAGCAGCTGAAGGAGAGAGCTTTAACCAAGGTTGGTGTTTTGCCTGGAGAACAGGGTAGCAGGGAGAGAAGCACGTTCCTAGTGGTTTAGAATCTACGGAGAAGGAAGTGAAATGTGAAAAGAAGCCGTGATCCCAGGGATCCAAGAAATACTGAAGCCAACACAGACAGAGCTAAAGGAGAGGGGCATTTCTGCAGCAGTCGTTGGAGACTTCAGTACCCACCCTCTCACTAGTGGACGGGACAACCAGTAAACCTCCCGGGGCTACTAGACACATTAGAACACGCTCTTCCCAGGTGCACAGGGACATCCCCCAGGTAGACTGTACGTTAGGTATCATATAAGCATCTTTTCCAACCACAATGGCATGAAGTTAGAAGCAATAACAAGGAAAACTGGACCAATTAGGAAATTAAAGAGAAATCAGAAAACCTAGAGAGAGTGTTCTAAAACTTATAGGAGGCAGGACTTGGGGAAAATTTACAGCTGTAAATGCTGCTGACATTAAAAGGAAGGAAATAATAAAGATGAGAGCAGAAATATAACAAAAATAGAGAAAAATGAACAAAACCAAATGCTGATTCTTTCAAAAGGCTGACCTCTAGCTAAAGATGAGGCCTAAACTGCTAAAATCAGAAATGAAAGTGGACATTACATTGCTTCTACAGAAATAAAAATTATAGGATACTATGAATATATGCCAATAAGTTGGATAACCTAGATGAGATGGTTTTGTGTTTCTAGTTATTTGTCCAAGAAAATAATGTAAAGTAGATCCATAATTTCTAAGGAGATTCTATCCGTAATCAAAGACCTCACGCCTACACAGGTGAATCCTACCGAACATTTAAAGAACATCAGTGTTGCTTAAACTCTTCCAGAAAACTGAAGAGAACCCTTCCTGTGACTTAGGAGTCATTCTGAGGCCAATATATTGTCCTAGTACCAAAGCTAACAGGACCCTACAAACCAATATCCTTTTTACTACTATAGATTCAGAAATCATCAAAATTCTAGCAAACAGAACTCAGCAGCATATTAAAAGGATTATATACCACAACCAACTGAGATTTATTCCTGGAATGCAAGATTGATTCAATGTATGGAAACTGATCTAATCCTCCACACGAATAGAATGTAAAAATAACACACAATCATCTCAATTGATGAATAAAAAGCATTTGACAAGATTCAACACATTAAAACATTCAAACTCAGAATATCAGGAAACTACTGCAACACGATAAAAGTCATTTATGAAATACCCACAGTTGTCATCATAATCAGTGGTAGAGGACTGAAAGCTTTTTTTTTCTAACATCAGGAACAAGGCAAGGATGCCCACTTCTAGTCAACATCGTACTGCAAATTCTACCCAGAGCAGTTGGGCAAGAGAAAGGAACAAAAGGCATCCAAATTGGAAAGGAAAAGTAAAATTACCTTTGTTCAGAGATGACAGGTCTTTGTGTAGAAAATCCTAAAGATTTCACACACACCAAAAAACACACGTTAGACCTAAGAAACAAATTCAGCAAAGTAACGGGAGATAAAATCAACACCCAAAAATCAGTTGTGTCTCTATGCTAACAATGAATAGTCCAAAAAGGAAATTAAGAAAATAATTCCACTTACAATAGCATCAAAAAGAATAAAAAGGAGGTAACACACTTGTACAATGTAAACTACAAAATATTTCTGAAATAATGACAAATAAATGTTGGTGTTCATGGGTTGGAAGACTTAATATTGTCGAAAATATTACCACCCAGAGTGATCTACAGAGTCAATTCAATCCCTACCAAACTTTCAGTGACATTTTTACAGAAATAGAAAAATCTACCATAAAATTAATGTGGAATCTCAAGGGAACATAAACAAGAAAAACAAAGTTGGAGGGCTCACACTTAGTGATTTCAAAATGTACTACAAAGATAGTGATCAAAACAGTGCAGTACTGGCATAAAGATAGACATATAGACCAATAGAATAGAGAACCCTCTTTGTGTGAAAAAAATGCATGGTTTATTATGTACATATCTATTGATATAGGATATTACATTCCAATTACATGTAAAAATGATCTCTACCTGATATTTGATAATAGAAAATATTAAAAGGAAATAGTAACAAAAATACCAAAAAAAAGTGATTTTAAAAATTAAAAAATACATTTAAAAATATTTATATCTTAAAAGTTATAATTCTTAAAGTGAAATTTAAAAACACATCACACATGGATTGACTTATCTGATTGTCATGATCTTTGTTTTATGATAAATATTCCAGAATTGAATGTTCCTTCATTTTGTGTCAACATTAGTTGAGTGTGTGTTTGGAGTGTGGATGTAAAAGGGGGGAAACCTCACTTACATGGTCAAATGATTTTGTCAAGGGCGCCAAGAGCATTCAATGGTGAGCGAAGTCTTATCAACAAATAAAAAGAAGCTGGGTAAGCATGTGCAAAAGCTGAACACTTACCTAAAACCATATATAAAATTAACCCAAAATGTATCAAAGACCTAAAGGTAAGAGTTAAAACTAAAACGTTTAGAAGAAAACTAAGGGGAAAGCCTCACAGCACTGGGTCTGGCAATGATTTCCTGGTCACGACACCAAAGGCACAGGCAACAAAAGGTAAAGCTTCCATACGTCAAAGGACACTGTCAGCCGGTAAAAAAGCAACCACAGAAAATATCTGCAAGCAACGTAACTGAGAAAGGATTAATCCAGAATATTCGGAACTCCAAAAACAACCAAAAATCTGATTCAAAAATAAGATTTCTCCAAAGAAGATATACAAATGGCAGGAAAAGCTGTTCAGCATCCCAGATCATTAGAGAAACACAGATCAAAACACAATGAGATATTGCCTCACACCATTAGTATGGCAACTACCAAAAAAGCCAGAACACATGCTGGTAAGGATGCGGAGAAACTGGAACCCTTGTGCCTGGCAGGTGAGAGAATGTAAAATGGTGCAGCTGCTGTTGGCAACAGTGTCTGATTCAAAAATAAGATTTCTCCAAAGAAGATATACAAATGGCAGGAAAAGCTGTTCAGCATCCCAGATCATTAGAGAAACACAGATCAAAACACAATGAGATATTGCCTCACACCATTAGTATGGCAACTACCAAAAAAGCCAGAACACATGCTGGTAAGGATGTGGAGAAACTGGAACCCTTGTGCCCGGCAGGTGAGAGAATGTAAAATGGTGCAGCTACTGTTGGCAACAGTATGGCAGTTGAAGAAATTAAAAATAGAATTACATGACCCAACAACCTACTTCAGAATGGACACCCGCAGGAACATGAGCTGCCCACCACAGGTTAATGGATAAAACGTGGTGATAGACAGAATGGAGCATTTTCCCGCGTTAGGGAGGTCCTGACACGGAACCTTAAAGACATGCTGCGGAATAAGCGGTCACAAAAGGACAAACACGGTACGGTTTTGCTCATGAGGTACTGAGAGTAGTCACACTCATAGAGGCAGAAAGTGCATTGGGGCTGCAGGGGCTGGGAGTTACTGTTTAAAAGTGTTCAAGTTTCTGTTTTGCAGGGTGAAAACCGTTCTGATGGATGGTGTGATGTTGCACAACATGAGTGAACTTAATGCCACTAAACTGTTCATATAAATATGGTTAAAATGGTACATTTTATGTTTAGCACAATTTAAAAAAAGTTACTGGAGTACTAGAGAGGACGGTTTGGGAAAACGGGCAGTGGCCAGCCTGGGATGCACGAAATCCCAATTTTAAAGATGGTGCAATTGTTGATGACAATCTGGCCTATGACCGTGGGCGCTGATGCCTGAGGCCTAGGGACTGAGGTGCCTGAGTGTTGGGTGACGTGGAGAGAAGAGGAGGGACCCGGGTGTGTGGGGAAGGATTTGAGGCCCTGGTGCGCCACGCTTGTCCCTGCCTGTTGTGGGAAGATTACAACCTGTGTCTCCATCTCACCAAAGTGACACTTGGTACAAGCCTTTTAAAAGGAAAAACTGTAGTAGGTTTCAGGTCTAAAGATGAAGCGCGTTTCTAAGGAGAGGTGCAAGGGCAGTGTTTCAGCTGCATTTCCTGGTGAGAGAGACATGCTCTCCTTCCTGCACGACTTGGGTGTTAATCGCTCTCCTTGCTTTCAGGGGTCCAGACTAGACGACCAGAGATGTGCTCCTCCCCCCGCTGCCACAAAGGGGCCGACGGTACCAGACGAGGACTTCTTTAGCCTTATTTTACGGTCTCAGGCGAAAAGGATGGATGAACAGAGAGTTCTTTTGCAAAGAGATCAAAACAGAGACACTACGTTTGGGCCGAAGGGCTGCTTGCAAAGTGATGCTCTGTTGGAATTTAAAAATTCAGGAAGAAAATAAGCCACTAGTTACTATGGACGTATTTTTTAAAGTGACCCTGTGTCCCTTCAGAACGCTGTTCAGGAACTGCACCTACTTCTCTTTCCTGGAAAGGAGGAGTTACGGCATGTAACAGCGTGCAGGCTGAGGGCGGCGCGCACACTTGGCATGTACCGTGCAGCGTGTGCACATGGACACTCACGTGCTCTGTGGACGCGGCCGAGAAGGTGCTTCCCCAGCTTCCGTGATCCTGCCTGGGACTGTCCTTGGCCGCTCGATAGTCCTTGGCCTCGGCGCGTCAAGTAGAAAGTTAGACGAACCCGACGACTCTAGTCCCCTTTCTGAGATCGTATTTTTAAGCGCTCCATTGACAATGGCTTTTTTATACTTTACATATAAAGAGAAAATATGTTGTCTAGAAAAAATGTGCTCGACCAATGTGCAGTTATATAAAATAGTCCCATAAAAAATCTAGGTTTCCCCCCTCTAACAAAATCTATTTTCAATATATTTTTGGGCCAAAGCCATTATAAATGAGACTGTGCTTCCCCAGCTTCCGTGATCCTGCCTGGGACTGTCCTCGGCAGCTCGATAGTCCTTGGCCTCGGCGCGTCAAGTAGAAAGTTAGACGAACCCGACGACTCTAGTCCCCTTTCTGAGATCGTATTTTTAAGCGCTCCATTGACAATGGCTTTTTTATACTTAACATATAAAGAGAAAATATGTTGTCTAGAAAAAAATGTGCTCGACCAATGTGTAGTTATATAAAATAGTCCCATAAAACATCTAGGTTTCCCCCCTCTAACAAAATCTATTTTCAATATATTTTTGGGCCAAAGCCATTATAAATGAGACTCTTAAGAAATAAACTTCTTTTAGCTTGTTTTGGGCTCTTTGTTTAATTAAAAAAAAATACCGGCATGTGCCACTTACCGACGGGAAGAGTTCTTGAGAAATGCCCCAGGAGGCGAGCACTGCCGACTACGCTTACACCGACCTGGATGGCGCACGGAGCAGCTGGGTGCGCTATGATGTCAGAATGGCCGTGATGTCACTAGGCAATAGGATTTTCAGCTCCATCATAATCTTATGGGGCCACCGCTGTGTAAGTGGTCTGTTGTGGACCAAATCATCCTTACGTGGCACGTGACCATATACATCCATGTAGGTACAGACATGGATGTATGCATGGTTCAAAATTGTATTGATTGCAAAGTACTGCTGTGAAACTTTTTAGGACCTAAAGTTAAAAAGCAAATATGTGGTCATGTCACAAAAACAGAAAACAGATAAAAACTCGTAAGATTTCATTCTGAAAGACGTAGGTTAGGACCTCACTTGTCCTTAAGCCTCTTCCCAGAAGTGGGAAGGTGTTCACAAGGACAAGTAACACGTCACAGGACACGACGTAAGAAAGGTCAGCAAAACGAGAAAGGACAGAGCAGAGCCTGACCCCGACTCGAAGTGCCAGGTGAACGCCACCCCGGGGCACACGGAACGCATTCACCTGTGGGTGCTGCTGGCTGCACATCCGGGATCCGGGGCTCTTTCTAAAAGTCCTCCAGGCGGTTCTGATCGGCAAACAGTGAGAACTACTCCAAATGGCCACGGTTTAAAAAAATAAAAAAGAAAGTTATACAATCGGAAATTACATTAAGCGCTGGGGGGGTGGAGGGAGGGGGTTACAACACATTATTCTTGTCAGAAGTTTTAGCAAAAGTACTCAGGTAACCCCTGGATTGTATTATAGTGTACATGTTCTATATGGGGTATAATGTCCTAGAGTTGCCTCCTTTTAAAAAGTGCACATGAGTTTCATGGGTCTTTATAAGAATATTGAATGAGCAAAGATAGGCATACCAACCAGGGTAATATAAAAATAAGTGTTTATTGTATATATATGGTAGTTCTTAGACCCTGTAAACATTCAACATTATTCCATTTAAAACCTGCTTTTAAAAACGGTCAACGCCACTCTGATTCTCCTAAAAGCGCGTCCCTCTCAGCCTTCATATTAGTGATCACATTGGCTGGACATCAGCAGGCCTCCCTTCTATCATAAATCACAAACGCTGATTTATCACTTGTCTGTCGTTAGGAAAAACACCTATTCAGTTTTCCCGCTCCACTTGCTCTAGTGAGTCTCCCCTGCATTGCTGCTAACAGCAGGCTGGCTGCCTTGCTGGCGGTCCAAGTAGATCTCATCCCCAAATGGCCATCTGTCAGGTAAACACAAAGACGAGCTTTTAGAGGCTGTGGGCAGAGCTGCTTGGGACGGCTACAGCAGTGAGGAGGGCAGGAGGCACCGGCTCCGCCCGCGCTCTGCTCAGGCTGCCACCTGAGGCCTTCGGTTCCCTTCGACGGACCAGGCTCAGGGCAGCTCCACCCAGAGCAGGTCCCCTCAGCCAACAGGTTTAGTTCCACCAAATCTACTCCAAACCGCGGGCACCCGGTCCTTAGTTCACTTGCTACGTACCTAGTGTTCTAAACTTTTATACACAATTCTTCGTGTATTTCTTGGAAAAAATTACCATCTCTCTGAAGAAATACTAAAGATGTCTGCAATATTAAACTAGATTTCATGTAAAAAACATACCAGAAGTACAGCATAGGGAGTAATAATAATATTGCCATAACTATGTACGGTGCCAGGTGGGTACTAGAAATAACAGGGGGACCACTTCATAAAGTATATGATTGTCTAAGCATTATGCCGTACACCTGAAACTAATACAAAACATTATTAAATAAAAGCTGTAGGTGAAAAATAAAAAGTTTTAAAAACCATCAGAAAGCAAACGCTTTGAATAAGTCTTTTTTTCTGAAACAAACACCTGAAGGGTACCTTTAAGACTATTCCCGACTGGCATCGTTCTGAGTGAGCAGCTGAACGTAACTTCTAGTGTGAATGTTAAAACAAGGGACTCTTAAATGTATGTGAAATCTGCTTTCTAGCTAGGTACCAACCAGCAAAATACACAAGTTTTTTTTTTCCAGTTTAAAATGAGGAATAGTTTTAAAACTCAGAATGCCTAATTTAAAACGCTGATTTATCACCTGTCTGTCATTAGGAAAAACGCCTATTCCCCATGGCATTCTTCTCTTCCAGTTTAAAATGAGGAATAGTTTTAAAACTCAGAATAACTAATTTAAAACGCTGATTTATCACTTGTCCGTCGTTAGGAAAAACGCCTATTCCGTTTTCCCCATGGCATTCTTCTCAATGTGCAACCTCTAAAAATGAGGACTTCTGCGGCCCTGACCACACTGTTTGCTAGAATGTAAGTAAGAAACTGTCACAGCTAACAGTCCGCGCTGCTGGGTTCTGAGCAGCCAGGCACACGGGCCTCCAAAGTCTGCACCCTTCACCGCGGGGGCAACAGCCACTCCGGACCCATTCCCTACCTGAGCTGAGATCACCGCACACGCTGCTACCCAAAGTCCCCGCTATCGCCATCGCCAGTCTGTCTCTATCAGGAGAGTGAAAGGGGTGACGAGGAAGCAGCCCCAGCAACAGCTGCGGGTTGAGAGATGCAAGTAGAACGTGAGGCTACAAAGCCACTCTGATGGGTGTGCCGCCTGCAGAGACACGGATGCTGTAGTGCAGGCCCGCGGCCCAGGAGATGCTGAAGGACATGCAGAGTGGACTTTCCTTAAAAACGGTTTGTGAGTACCTGCCCCTCTGGGGTGCCGTGCACAGTGAACAAATTAGTCTCCTGACTGAGGTAGGTCTTACAGGACTCCTACCAGGAAGCACACACTTTGGTTACCGGGCTCCCGTATATGCCTGTAAACAAGAAAACTTCTTATTCAATGTCCCTCATTCCCACTGGCTTCCTTAATTATTCGGAATTAGTACTGCCTGCCACACCTGTTCACCTATGAGCTCCTGTTCCACAATTACTACTTCAAAACTTTATGGGATGTATCTTAACATCAAAGAGAATACATAATAAGACAGATAAAAGAAGTTAAATGAACAGAAATACATGTGTTATTCTGATTGTCAGTAAAAATATTAATGCTTAAGTTGGCACATTTTTGGAGTAAATGTCAGAAATCTGTAGGAAACAGTTGTGAAGAGTGTACATTACAAGATTCTTTACAAAAAGATGGCCTCCAAGCTGTGGTGCGAGTCAGGGCTCCTCCAGCCTCACGGGCCGCCGGCCGGGTCCCTCCCACCTGCTTCCGCGATGAACGTGCTCGCTGGGCGGGGTGTGCCGCCCTCCTCGGGGCTGCCTTCGTCCTGAGTCCTGAGTGGGGCCTTTCCCGCTGCAGGATCTTCCGCCACCACTGGCGCCCCCTGGCCAGAGCCGGGCTCAGGACGCCGGCTGCTCTCGGTGCTGCCCTCTGCCTTCCTCCCGGGGTGCGCTTCCTCCCGGGGTGCGCTTCCTTCCGGGGCTCCATCAGTCTCTCCGGCCTAGAAAGCACAGAAGTACATCTTGTTTCAACTGTTTCCGTAACGATGTGAAAGGCTGGTAATCATGTCCAACAAGTGTCCATGCAAATCTGAATTCTAATGCTGGACTGTAATGACACGAATGGTCAGCCTCCAGGAGCCACATGGAGGAGCGTGGACAGGGAGGACACGGCGTGGTCAGGCCTGGGGACCAGGACTGCGAACTCCTGACCTGGTGAGAGTAAGTCATCTGACAAGCATCTGCTGAGCACCGGCTAGTGCAGTGATGGCGACCCCATGACACGCGTGTCAGAGGTGACACACGAACTCATTTTTTTGGTTGATTTTTCTTTGTTAAATGGCATTTAAATATATAAAATAAATATCAAAAATGTAAGTCTTTGTTTTACTATGGTTGGAAATATCAAAAAATTTCTATATGTGACACGGCACCAGAGTTAAGTTAGGGTTTTTCAAAATGCTGACACGACGAGCTCAAAAGGTTCGCCATCACTGGACTAGTGCTAGATGCTGGGGACACTGCAGGGACAGGCCAGGAAGACCCTGCCCTCACCGGGACTTCCTTTCAGGTTGGGGAGAGAATCGGCAACAAACCAATTAGCAAAGCATCACCCTGGAAGCGGAGGGGGTGGAGGAGGTGGGACTGCTGGTCTGAAAGGGGCTCGGTGAGTAAAGGCTTGAAGAGAGGAAGTGGCCGTGGGGAACGATTCCGGATGGTGACTACCAGGCTCGGAGGCTCTGAGCTCGAGGATGAGTCAGGAGCGCAGCAAGGGAGCGGCGGGGAAAGGTCAGCAGGAAGAGGTGGGCGTGGGCAGATGGCCTGGGCCACGGCGGCAACTTTGGCTTCCACTCCACGTGAGGTGTGATGGGAAGTCACAGGAGGATTCCCGAGATGAGCGACAGACATTAACTCTTAAAGCTGAAAGGAACACCTTTCAGTTTTCCATGCAGATATTTCTGCTTATAAGGAGCTGCGTAGGAAGGGAATCTATAACTTCCTCAGCTCTACTGTGTTCGTACTATTTTTCAAAGGTTTACACTTGCAACTTAAACTTTGCAAATGACAATAC